GTTTTTCTGCATCCCCTCCAACATTTATTGTTTTCTCCTTGTAAAATGTTCTCTCGATGTTGTTTTGATTTGCATTTCTCTAATCAATAATGATTTAGAGTGTTTTTTTTATGTGACTATAAATAGTTTTGATTTCTTCTTTGGAAAATTGCCTGTTCATATCATATCATATCATAAAGGAGAACTACTCTTTTACAACATACCCAACAAGTACCCATCTTGCCTTCTCTTAGTCTTTGCTGAGGATTGGTGGGGGTACTGCCTTCCAAGGAAACCCAATCCAGACAAACCAGGTCTAATCCCTTTCTCACACAACAGTCTTTGAAATTCTTAAGGCCATCAATCTTGTCCCCTCAAAAGCCTCTTTTCTCCAGGCTAAACTTCCCCAGTCAACCAATCCTTTTATATTATGACCTTCTGCCTCCCTCGTTATCCTTATTATCCATCCCTGGATATTCCTTAGCTTATCAGTGTCCTTCCTAAAATGCGATGCCCAGAGTGCTTCAGATGTGGCAAGATCAGAGCAGGATACAGTGAATAATAGGATCATAGATTTTAAGCCAGAAGTGACTCTCAAAGACATGTAACTTAACTCCCTGATTTTACAGCTAGGGAATCTGAGACACTTCGAGGTTAAGTGATTTGTCAAATGTCACACAAGTAGCAAGTAGAAGAGCCAGGATTTGAACTTGGGTCCTTTTACAGGCCATGGGAAAGTTGGAGGGCTAGTACAATGAAAGAGAAACTGGGGATGTTTAACCTTGCATAGAGAAAGGCAAGGGGAAAACACTAGGGTAGCTATGAGGTGATAGACTTGTACTGTGTTGCTCCAGGAGCAGATAAGGTAGTGAGTAGAAATTACAAGAAGGTAGCTTGAGGCTTGCTGTCTAACATCTAGCATCAAACATGGCATTTCAGAGTCTAAAAGGACCATCTGGTTCAACTCATCTCTAAAAGAATTCCAGTAATTGATCACATAGATTTTGCCTTAAGATCTCCAGTGAAGGGGAACCCATTGCCTCCTTAGTCAGTTCATCCCGTGCATTCCATTTGGATAGCTTTAATATTTAGGAAGCTTTTTGCCCTTGACATCAAGCCAAAATTTGCGCTTTTTTTTTTGTAATTTAGGACCATTTCTTCTGTCTGGCAGAACAAATCTAATCTTCTTTCACATGAATACCTTTCATATCCTTGAAGATGGCTATCATAATCTCCTCTTCTCTGGGCTTGGTGTCCTCATTTTCTTCAGGGTACCATCATATGACATAGACTCAAGAACTTCTCAACAGTGAAACAGTCTCTCCAAAAGGCAGTGAGCTCCCCATCACTGGAAATACTAAATTTGTCAAGGACAACATTGATGGCATCCCTGCATTATAACTCCTGCAGGTTCTAAGCTTCTGTGATTCTAGCCCTTCTCTCACTGCCATGAGGATCAAATGAGATAAGTAAAATGTTTTGCAAACTTTAAAGTGCTGGATACATTTTAACTATTATTGTATTGATAGTGAGATGATTCCATAACTTTAGATTTATTTCTTAAATTTCATATTATTAGATTCTGTCCTTTGTTTTAGCCTGTTGAAATCATTTTGGATTACATCATACAAAATAATACTGATTCTTCCCAGCTTTGAGTTATTCAACTTGATGAGCAGCTATCTATGCTTTCATCCAAGTCACTGACAAAAATGTTCAATGTTATAGAACCAAGGACAGATCCACAAGACCTCTGTTAGTTGTCGACCTGTGGGGTTTCAGCTTGATCTAAAAATGCATGTCAGTCTCATCTAAATATTAAAGCTTTGTTCTTTTCTCTGTGGGACAGCTAGGTGGAACAGTGGATAGAGTGCCAGACTGGAGTCAGAAAGACTTATCTTCCTGAGTTGAAATCTGGCTTAAGATACTTACTGGCTGTGTGAGCTGAGCCTTAACTTAACCCTATTTGACTTAATTTACTCATCTGTAAAATGAGCTAAAGAAGGAAATGGCAAACCATCCCAAGATCTTTGCCAAGAAAACCCCAAATATGATCACAAAGAGTTGGACAGTAAACAATAACAAATTTTCTCTGGAATATTTGTAACAGATGGTAAACAATGAAATTTTCCTCTGTTTAGACCTGGTCTATATCTGCCCCCCCACCCCTTTTTTTGACTCTGTGTACCATAGAATTGCTTTTTGTCAGCTGCTTTTCACGATATTATTTTCTGCTCTCAATGACCTCAGATTTAGAAGTGGAATGTCTTGGTGTTGTCCTGCCCAGGAATTTGATCCTATGGCTCAATATGCACAGCTACCCAACTGATAAGAGGAGGCTTCACAAAATGAAAAGGGCAATGAATTTGGCACCAGTTGACCTGGGATAAAATCATTCCTTTTCCATAGCCCATATGATTTATCTTAGTCATATAACTTGATTTCTCTTGGACATAGTTCACACATCATACATAAATAAAATAAATTGTTTGGATTATTACTATACTTACAGTGGAACTTTGAATTGGTCCAACTATTCTGGAAAGCAAATTTAGAATTGTGATAAAGGTGAATAAAATGTCCATATTTTCTTTCTTTCCTTTTTTTTTGTTTATGGGATAAAACAAGCATTTCCATAAGATAGCATAATAAAAATGATGATTGCACATGAAATTGCAAATCTATTACATATAAGTTGTTATTCTTTTTAAATATGTAAAAAGTGATCATGTAATTTTTTTTCTTTTTTTCCTCCCCTCCCATCCTAGAGATGGCTACCATTAGACACAAATACGTATATATGTAAAATCATTCTATACATACTTCTATTTATCAGTTCTTTCTCTGGATGCAGATAGTGTCTTCCTTCACAAACCCTTTGTAGTTAATTTGGGTATTTATAATAGTCAAATGACTTATTACTTCTCAATCTAGAGATTCTACTGCATACCAAAATGTTTGTATTGGCAATCTGGGGATAATAAAGTAGAAAAAGCTGTTGCTGATCTCTTGGGAAATGGTGATTTCATTCATTGTACGTGAATGTGACAGACTATGATTATGCCATAAGAAATGATAAAAATAAAGTATTTGGGGAAATATGGGAAGACATATGAATTGATTCAAAGAAAGGAAAGCAGAATCAGGAATTCAACATATACATTGACTTGAACTTTGCGAAAGGAAAGGGCAATTATGGTTGTTTGTCCTTCATTTTCAAAGACTTGTGTGTGAATTGGATTTAAGTGAAGCAATAAAACCAAAGTGAATGTTGTATAATTATAGTGACCAAGCTTGTCCCAGGAAGAAAAGTGAGAAAATGCACCTCCCTCCTTTCATCAGAGATAGAGGGTGACAAGAATTTTGCATAGGATTTCAAATGTAATCTATGTGTTTGTTTTGTTTTGTTTTGTTTTGTGTGTGTGTGTGTGTGTGTGTGTGTGTGTGTGTGTGTGTGTGTGTGTGTGTGTGAGAGAGAGAAGAGAGAGAGAGAGAGAGAGAGAGAGAGAGAGAGAGTTTTGTTATAAGGGAGGGCTCACTGGATTCAGGGCATAAATTAAGAAGGGCTTTTGACACAAAAAAACCCAGAAGGAATCAATAAAGCCATAAAATTAAATAAAATCCTATGATCCTAACATTATTATTCTAATTCTGTGATTTTGGGAGGTCTCATACGTACTACATTTTTTGTGCAAAAGTGGGGCAATCAATTATAATTGCTTCTAATTTACTTCCTCCCAAGCTGTGAAATTCTTCACCTGCTTGCTGCTGGGGGCAGCTTAGAGAGATTAAAAAAGAGTTTTCCTGGAGAAAAGAGAAGAAAATATAGAATCAATCAATTAGCAAGTGTCTATTAAGCATCTACTATATGCCAGGCACTGTGCTAGGCACTAACAATACAAGTAGAAAAGAAGGGAAGGGAATGGAATAAGCTTTTATGTAGTGTCCACACTATGCGCCAAGCCAAAAATGAAAAAAAAATCTTTCTTTTAATAAACTTACATTTTAATGAGAGAGACAAGAAACATGCATATATACTTTGTACACACATAAATGTATAGCATATATAAGACATATATATATATACATATATATTATACACACACACACACACACACACACAAGCAATTAAATACAAGGTAGGTTTGTAGGGCATTAGCAACTGGAGGGATCAGGAAAGACATCATGCAAAAAATGGTGTCTGAGTTGGGAGACTCTGTGAGGCTGAGGTAAGGGAGGAGAGCATTCTTTTACTTTGGCCATTAGAATGGACCAGAGTAGGGAGGGAAGGGGGTGGGGGCAGGATAGCCAGTTCAAAGGCATAGACAGAGATGAGAGATAGAGCATTGCAAGCGAAGAAAAGAGAGAAGGCCAGTTTCCTTAGGTTGCAGAGTGCAGGAGGGGGAGTAATGTCCATTGAGGCTAGAACTTTGGGTTGGGCTCAGGTTGTACAGGGCTTTAAAAGCTAAACAGCTTATATTTTATTCCAGAGGCAATAATAAGCCACTGCAGTTGGCTGAGCAGAGGAGTCAATGGTTTGACCTTCACCTAGGAAAATTACTTTGGCCATTGGAATGGACCAGAGTAATGATCATTCAGGAAGACCATTTAGGAGGCTGTTGCAATAATCCAAGGGACAAATGATGAGCCTTCCTTTCCTCCCCCTACCCCCTAGCACAAAAGTTCATTCTACTTTTGTCAGTTTTGATTGTTAAAAAGATTTTCTTTGTGTAACAAGGGATTGGTCAGGAGAGTGCCTGATTCCTTTTAGTTTTCTCCAACCAACTTGATGAGGACAATCAGTATGGACCTTGCTGTAGGCATCTGATGGGCCTCCATGAATGTGGACTTATATATTGACACCTTATTCACTGGTCTCAGGAAAGTAAGATTGCCTTTTGATAATCGGTTGCCCGAAGCTCGGAGAATTAGACTTTCACTGAGGGGCCCTTTATGGCCTATACAAGTGAACAGTGAAAAGACTCAAATCCTTTTCTATTTTTGTGCTTTGTCTGCTTTAGAATGACAGAAAGGAGTGTACAGGAAGGCAGGATGGGATTTCTCCTTCCTCCACTTCAACCTAGCAGAAAATGGTGGCTTGCAGGAGAAGCACTGGGCAAATGGTATTTACGTGATCAGGTGAGTCTGAAAGGGGAATTCCTCGACTTGTAATTTCCAGCTTTCTTCTTCTGCCCTTCTGTTATGTTTTGTTTTTCACCATACAGGTCACAGACTTGTAATAATAAGAATGAATATTTCCCACCTGGAGATTACCTGATGGATGACTTGGGTTGGGGTCTTTCAAATACTAGAGTTTCCAAGAGTTAATGAATTTGTGAGTCAGGCACTGGGCTCTAGGGGTGGGGATGCATTTTCTCAACATTGTGCCATTTGGAGAAGGTGGAGGACTGTTCTGTAGTTGGAGGAATAGAGCCATATCACAAGGTGGATAAGGGTAGGGTGGGAGCACAGCACTAGATCTGGAGTTTCTCAACCCTCAATTATGATGCAATGAGTTTTCTGGACAGTATAAGTGGAAGGTAACTAGAGTATAGAAACAATCAGCCAACTAATAAATAAACATAAAGTTCCTACTATATATATATATATATATGTACGTATATGTGTGTGTGTGTATATATATATGTATATATACACACACACACATATACGTACATATATATATATATATATATGTATATGTATGTGTGTATATACCAAGCCCTGTGCCACTGGGGAAACAAAAGGAGGCAAAAGACAGTCTTTGCCCTCAAGGAGCTTACAATCTAATGGGGGATACAACAAGCAAACAAAAATATACAAAGCAAGCTATATACAGGATAGCCAGGAGACAAAAAATGACAGAGGAAAGGCACTGGGATGAAGGGGTTGGGGAAGGCTTCTTGTAGAAGCTGGTATTTTAGAGCATAGACTGGGCATGAATGCCTATGATGAATGTACAGGAACATCTGAGTTCAAATCCAGAGTCAGACATTTAGTGATGTGATCCTGGGCACATCACTAAACCTCTCTCAGCCTTACTTTCCTCATTTGTAGAACGAGGATAAAAATAACACCCACCTCCCAGGATTCCTATGAGGATCAAAGGAGGTAATATTTGTAAAACACTAAATAAATGCTGCCTATTATCATTATCATTATCATTATCATTATCATTATCATTATCATTATCATTATCATTATTTGTATTCCCAGCACTCGGCACACAGCTTGTCACATAATAAGTGATCGATAAATACTTGTTGCCTGCCTGACATTATGCATTTTTCAGAGGTGAAGGAGATAAAGTCTGCCTCATACCTGTTATTATTGTATATTCAATACCTAACAGGGAGTGGGGATGCTGTTCCCCACTTTTGGGGAAATCTAGACATGAAACATTAAAGCATTAAGCTTCACTTTGGAGATGATGCTGAATTTACTCCATGTTGGGGCCAAGAGCTGAAAAAAGGAAAAAAAAAACTGATGACCTAGTCTAGTCAGTCCCCAGTCCTCAGCAATCCCAGTCTGTTTGGTATGAGAGACTTTGGAGTCCCTCAATCACATTTGTATTAAGCTGAAATGTGTCTCTGACTCTTTATTTAACTTGAGTGAAATACATCAGAGATTGTGAAGTAGCAAATTATAAATGTGGGTGGCAATTCTGGGATCTGCAGTGAAAATCATTAATGCCCATGACCCAGTGGAGATGCATGATTTTGGTTTTTCCTGTTCCTTCCTGAGCCAGGCCCCCAGAGACCTAGCATATTTAGGGAATATTAATTGGAAGATTAAACTTACAATAAAGTAATGCATGGCAGTTTATCCCAAGTAAACCTTGTCAGGCTATTTCTACAGCACTAATGAGGAGCTGTTGGCATTAAGGTGTATGGCTGGCCAAGAATCTATCATGGATTCAATCCCATCAGCCAGATGTCTTCACAGAAAACTGGACCAGAGACAGAGGCTTAACTCTGGAGTCTTCTGGCCTATGAAGATTCATTCCTCCTATCCCTGAGGCCAGTTTGCCTTGGGTTGGGTGGTATTCAAGTTCATAATCATGGCAACCCAAATTTGTCCATCACTTGACTTGGCAAGGCAAGAGAAGAAGCTTTTTATTAAGTACTTGCTGTGTTCCAGGCACTGTGCTAAATGCTAAGGATAAAAATGCAAGCAGATAGAAAGACAGTCCTTGTCCTTGTCCACGAGGAGCTTACATGTTAGTGTGGGAAGACAGCACACAAAAGGTGACTGAAAAGTGGGGAGAAGGAAGGAAGGGGTGAAAACTATCTGCCCAGGGCATGGTTTCAAAGTCCAGACAGTTATAAGCAGAGTCAGAAAGGGAATGAACATTGATTGGCCTGGATCCCTTCCCAAGATGGTGGATCTGGGGGGAACTCAGCAATAGGAGAAAGAGATTGGCATGGGAGAGGGGTGTTCCAGGGTGAGAGAGCAGCTGAGGCATAGTGGAAATGTCCAGAAAGTTGGAAACAGAGCCAGGAGAGAAAAAGCAATTTTATAAAGTGGTTTGCATACATTGCTTTGGTTACATCCTGTAATTTGATTCTCACAACAGCTCTGTGAGGTGCGCAAGGCAAATATTATTGGCTACTCTACAGCTGAGGAGGCTGAGGCCCAGAGAGATTTGATGTGAGCTGCTCAGTGTACCGCTGAAGTTCTTCACTGAGTTGTTATGAAATGTCAATGAGTGGTTGCACAAGATTGTAAAAAGTGTACAAAGTCCAAAGAAAGTATATGTGTTGCCAGAAGTAGCTCGGTGTTTCAGAGGCTCCAAAGAAAAGTGTGGGAGAGAAGCTATTAGACTGCCTACCAAACTGAAGGTCTACAGAGCTGTTGTGCTGACCTCATTATTGTATGCCTGTCAAACATGGACAGTCTATCAGTGCCATGCCACAAAACTGAATTGCTTCCATTTGAATTGTCTTAGGAAGATTCTGAAGATCACTTGGCAGAATAAGGTACCAGGCACTGAGGTGCTTTCTGCAGCTGAACTGCCAAGCATTCAAACTCTACTGCATAGAGTGCAACTCCGATGGACTGGTCACATTGTTGAACATACACATGCATACACACATGTGCACACCCTACACACACACACACACACATGTATCTATGTATGTATATATGTGTATGGGTGCTATATACACACATACATATAGATATATGTATGTATGTACCTAGATCAATAGATAGATAGATAGATAGATAGATAGATAGATAGATAGATAGATAGATAGATAGATGGATAGATCTGATAACATTGGTCACTTCCAGTAACATTGTAGATGTAGCAGAATTAGTAGTCTCTGATTGTATGATCAGTCCAGACCTGGATTCAAATTTTATCTCAGAAAAGCACCAGCTCTGACTTTGAGTTCTGAGCCTGAGTTTCCTAATCTATAAAGTGGAGATAATTAAAGCACCACCTCAAAGGGCTGTTTTAAGGATCAAATAAAATAATGCCTATAAAGTGCTTTGCCACTCTTAAATTTCTTTGCAAATGACAGCTATCATCATCACCGTCAACTAGTCCAGCCCATATTAACAAGCATTTCCTCTACATGATTCATGACAACTTGGCATTCAGGATTTGCTTGAAGACTTCCACTGATAGGGAACTCATTATCTTATGAGACAGCCAATTCCACTTTTGGGTAGCTCTTATCACTTTGAGTTGATCTGTATACATAAAACCCTTCGGTGGAAATAACTTTAAGAAAGTTAAAGCATTCACTACTCATAAAAAGGTAGTTATTCTTCTTCTTAGACCACAAATTTTAGTTTCCCAAGTCTGCCTGAAATTAGTACTCCTCAGGAAGATTTGAAAATTGGAACTAAAACAACTCCCCTTTTGACATCATTCTGTTCTTTATAGCCCCTTTCTCACATAGACCCTGTGAGGTTGGTAGCCTGAGTAGGATTATCCCTAATGTATAAATGAGCAAACTGCGCTGGAGATTTCAAACCTTCGTTGGCACACGTAGGACTTGACAATAGCACAAAACAAATGTCTCTATGCCATGGGGAATGGAATTTTCTGGCATTGCAATAATAGGATTGATAAAAATGCCATATTAAAAAGTGCCTTTTGCTTTAGTCCCTGCATGTTGCATGCTAGGCAGCTGTCTGCTTTGCCCATCTCTAATCTGGGCTCTGCCCATAAGCTGAAGAGTTGGGAAAGGGGCATAATTACACACATCCACAAGTGAAGTGATGTTTGTTAACTTTATCTTCCCAGAGAAAAATCAAACAAGTTAATAGGGAGAAAAAACAGGCAGAGATATTCATTAACTTGGGCTGCTACCAAAATAAACTCACATATGGTGGTTATAGTCTTGGCATCAAACTCCACTGTCTGCTGGTCCCTCCTGAAGAGAGAAAAGAAGGCTCTCTAACTGAGCCCCACTATCCTCTCTTTCGGATTTCAGGGCATGCTGGTTGCTTATGTCTCCCCCTTCCCCCATGTTCCTTAGGGAGTAGTGAGGCCATGGATAATAATCTTGGTTGTGGCTTGGAGCCCAAATAGACAATCAACAAAGTCTTGAAACAAGTGAAAAAAACTGGCTGAAGGGGAAACCAGGCAGCATCTTTTCTCCAGTGTGAGCTCTTAGTTTTTCCCCACCAAGAAGTGTAGAATCCTAGAGATGAAGAGGTAGAAGGGAACTCCTTGGCTCTTTCTTGTCCCTACTTTACCCCCTCAATTGCCTCTGTAGGGTGTTATGCCCTTGCTATGGTCACCAGCAAAGCTCTCTGGTGTTTCACTTCGGTGTGGAGGTTACTTTAAATTAAAAAAGGTGACACTAACTTCTACCAAGCTGGAAATGGTGTAAAGTAAAGAAAGATGGTTCTGGGTTCAGAGGAAGTAGGTTCAAATTCCACTACTAACACTTGTTAACTGTGTGATCTTGGGCAAGTCACTTAACTTGTCACTGGTTGGTCTCTTGGTAAACAAGATGGGGTGCACTAGATGACCCATGTGGTCCCTTTCAATTTTATATCTTTGAGTCTAAGTAACAGCCAGGAATTGGACTCAGCCATTGGTGGGCTAGGCAACACAGTAGATAGAGTGCTGGACTGGGAGTTAAGAAGACCTGAGTTCAAATTGGCCTCATACACTT